CTAAAGACAGGTAAACTAAAGACAGGTGAGCTAACAGACAGGTGAACTAAAGACAGGTAAACTAAAGACAGGTAAGCTAAAGACAGGTGAGCTAAAGACAGGTAAATTAAAGATCCCTTTAATTTCCCACCCTGTCATCCAGATGACTCCTCCTCCTTCACCTCCTGTCCCCAAACCTCGAGCTCGTTACAAGAGGGCCAGTTTGAGCTCCGCCTCAGGCGACAGGTGAGTTCATCTTGAAATCTACACAACAAACATTTAAATCTATGTTCCAAAAATGTAAAGCTAACGTTTGTTTGTTTGTGTGTTTCAGGAATGATGAAAACATGCTTCATCTGAGCAGAGGTACGTAACTGAGTTGTCTCTGTGGAATGTTTTTCAATGAGAACAGTGGAACCGGTTTGATGTTTGTGTTGCTCCAGCTTTTAGTGTGAAACCAGTTTGAGTGATGATGTCATCTCCAGTGATTGTATAACAGATGTGTTGTATCTGTGTTTTATAATTGTATCATGTTGCTGAAACCTATACTCTGAAATCCACCCTCTTACTATAAAAGTGTCTAAATGACCGTTTCCTCCTCCTCAGATAAAGGTGCTCCTCGTCTTCCTCCTTCCTCTGGCTCTGATCGTGGCTCTGATCGTGGCTTCATCTTCCCGACTCTGGTCGGTGTCACTGACATCATCGCAGCCAATATCCCATCATTGGCTGGGGTCGCTGCTGCTGTCGGGTGCTCAGCCCCCTCTGACCCCCCCTCCACTGACAGCATTGCTGACAGCATCGCCACTAACATACCTAGCTTAGCATCCACTGCTAATGCTTTGGCTAACCCAGCTGAAGCTACATCAAAGCCAGCCTCCTGTCCCACACCTGCTAACACACATGCTGCTAGCATTGTTAGCTCATTAGCAAACATCGCCGATTCATCAGGGATTATTAGCTTCATCCCTTCAGCCCCACCACCCTCAGCTAGTAAACCCCACCCCCCCTCACTACCAAGGATTGCACTTCCTGAAGACCATCACACAGGTAGATCAATCAATCAATCGGTCGGTCGGTTACCATGGGAACTCATTCTCCAGACACATGGTCCAGTGTTAGCATTAGCCTGTTAGCATGGGAGTTAGCAGAATCTTAACTGAGAGAATTCAGGTTTATGAGGGAACTCGCCTCTCATCTGGGTCCCTAACTGCTTCATTTATTTTTTTATTCAAACTTATTTACCGTTAAATGTTTGAGTCTCAAGAACCTGGGTTATTAATTCAGGCACTCTAAAATCTCCCAGAAATTGAATTTGATTGGTTGAGTCACAAGGCACACAAGTATAAAAGTAACTGACCCCACCCCACCAGCACCCTCTGCAGGTCAAAACAAACACACTTCTCCTGATTGACTGTTCCACACGTTCTCTCTGTCCAGATGTTGGGGCTCTGTCACATCTGGTTATGTCATCTCTAGACCCGACTGCAGGAGTCATGCTACCTTCTGTAGAGGGAGCGGCTGAACCCACAGACGAAGGTACCGACCCTCCCTCACTGCACCAACCCCCCAACCCAACCACACACACACAGTCTGACTCCTCTCTGTTGGTTTTGGTTCCAGTTTTAAATCCATCTCTGTCCAACATCAGAGGAGAAATCCCATATGTCACTGTGTTGTCCTGTTGGGATGGTGAGGAAGCTGACTCAGACTCATCCAATGAGGAGGACAATACTGGAGTTAGCCCTGCCTCCTTTGGAGATGATGGACCAATGGGAGGAGATTCCCCCTCGGACACAGCAACACATACTCATAAGTACATAAACTGCGTACAGTACTGAGATAATTAATACGAATACAAGTGCACCGCTGCTGCTGACAGTGCTCTGGTGTTGCAGGGTCCCGCCCAATCCTCCAGGTCGTATCATCCCCTCAAGGCCAGCCCCGCCTCCTCCTTGTGCTATTGGCCAAACAGAGAAGCCTGGAAAACGTGTGAAACAGAAGATCCCAAGGTCCGTTCATGAGTCCCATCAAGACCAGGTCAGACCCCAGGGTGTTCCTGTTTTACCCAGGATGCTTTGGGAGCTGACCTGGTAGGTTTGAAATGGATTATTATGTTTGATGTAATCAAAGTGAAGAGTTCAAACTTTATTGATGTTTGTATTGAACATACATGTATTATTAAACCACGTTTGACCTGCAGAACGGCAACAATCCGAGTGTCCAGGAAGAAGACCGGCAGCGGGAGTTCCAGTCCACAGAGTGCTGTGGTACGGTCCAGCTGGTTGGACGTATGGAAGGGCTTCAGGTAACATCACAGTCACATGTGGCCCTCAGGAACCTCAAGGCATATATACACACACATGGCTCAGGGGTGGCTCAGGGGTAGAGCGGTTGTCCTCCAACCAGAAGGTCAGAAGTTCAATCCCCAGTCTTCTTATCTGCATGCCAAAGTGTCCTTGGGCAAGATGCTGAACCCCAAACTGCCCCAAAGAATAACAAAAAGTGCTACAAATAGAAGCACCGTATGTATGAATGTGTGTGTGAATGGGTGAATGGCAAACTGTAGTGTAAAGTGCTTTGAGTGGTCATCAAGACTAGAAAAGCTCTATATAAATACAACCATTTACGCATGTATTTATATGTATATTTATAGTAGGACAAATATCACAAATTATTTTAGATATGATGTATTGACTGATCTGAACATCCACTCTCTCTAACAGGCACAATGTTTTATGGGCAACTTTGGATGGACAGCAGATGTCTCTGTGGAAGAAACGCACAGTAAGTCTGTGTCCCTGTCTGTCCTTGTCAGTATCTGTATCAGTCTCTTTCTCTGTACCTGTCTGTAGAGTGATGGTGGTGTTTGTTTCGTTCACCAGGACCGGTTCAGTGAGGTGTTGTTTCATGTGTCCAGTATCACCAACGTGAAGACACAGGACAAAGGAAGATTCTCTGTTTACTTCAGGAAGAAACATTATGACTTCATGGCTCATAGTGACGGTAAGAATCACAGACTGTCAATGAGCATGGCGTCTCTATCACCCACGGGTGGCTAGCTGCAGTAAAGCTCACAAACAAGGCCTCTGAAAAGGTTTCTGACTGTTTTGGTTTTCATGTGTTATTTAATCAGACCTCATGATTGACATCTGTGACTGAAGCAGCAGCATTGAACATGTGTTCACGGCTTTTAGTTTCATCTGGATCAGTGTGTTGTTGCAGCTCGGTGTAGTAATGTTATCATTTATTTTGATAATCCAGAGGACACAGGAAGGTGAGATGTGATCAATCAATAATCATCAATGCTTTCATGGAGGTGTCTTTGTTCCATTGTTTCTCAGAGGTTCAGGATGGTTGGGTTGCATCTCTGCTGGCATCACGAGGCCAGCCAAGCCCCGCCCCTGCCCAACTGCACGGACAAATCACCATTAAAGATCCACGGAGCCGCGCCTATGCTGCGGTCTGGGGTCACGACCTCTGGATTTACCCCAACAAAGAGGGCTACCTGCTGGGCGTCGCCTCCTTCTCTGTCCCCCTGAACGTGGCCACCGTGAAATCTACAGGAAAACACTCGTTTACCCTCATCACTCCATACAAGAGCTTCAAGTACACACCTGTCTGTCTACCTGTCTGTCCGTGCACCTGTCTGTCTGTCTACCTGTCTGTCTGTGCACCTGTCTGTCTGTGTACCTTTCTGTGTACCTGTCTGTGCACCTGTCTGTCTACCTGTCTGTCTGTGCACCTGTTTGTCTGTGTACCTGTCTGTCTACCTGTTTGTCTGTACACCTGTCTGTCTGTGCACCTGTCTGTCTGTGCACCTGTCTGTCTGTGTACCAGTCTGTCTGTGTACCTGTCTGTGTACCTGTCTGTCTACCTGTCTGTCTGTGCACCTGTCTGTGTACCTGT